ACGGGGACGTTACGGGGACCTTTCGGGACTCTTCTTCTCTATTGGGTACTAAGTGCATCTCTTGGGGGGGGGGTGAAGTGGTGGGAAGGGAGGGGGCTATAAGTGGGACTTTTCCTCTTTACGGGGACTTTACGGGGACTTTACGGGACTCTTCTCTATGGAGACTTTTTCTCTCTCTATGGAGACTTTTCCTCTTTACGGGGACTTTACGGGGACTTTACGGGGACTCTTCTCTATGGAGACTTTTTCTCTCTCTATGGAGACTTTCCTCTTTACGGGGACTTTACGGGGACTCGGGGACTCTTCTCTATGGAGACTTTTTCTCTCTCTATGGAGACTTTTCCTCTTTACGGGGACTTTACGGGGACTTTACGGGGACGGGGACTTTACGGGGACTCTTCTCTATGGAGACTTTTTCTCTCTCTATGGAGACTTTTCCTCTTTACGGGGACTTTACGGGGACTTTACGGGGACTTTACGGGAACTCTTCTCTATGGAGACTTTTTCTCTCTCTATGGAGACTTTTCCTCTTTACGGGGACTTTACGGGGACTTTACGGGGACTCTTCTCTATGGAGACTTTTTCTCTCTCTATGGAGACTTTTCCTCTTTACGGGGACTTTACGGGGACTCTTCTCTATGGAGACTTTTTCTCTCTCTATGGACTTTTCCCAAATTTTTTGTGTTCATGGAACATTTTGTTGTTGCAAACTGATTTCATTACATTATTCCTTAGGACTGCTGCTTTTAGGCTTAGAGGTTAGTGAAATGCACAATATTGTGGTTAGTGAAATACACAATATTGAGGTTAGTGAAAATATAAGGGTCAAGACATTTTTTGTGGTTAGCAAAATCTACCTTGTTGGAGTTAGACAAAGATCTCTTGAGGTTAGCAATTTGGCTTGTAAGGGTTAGAAGTGCGTCTCATTGGCAGGGTGCCATCCGAAAATTGGACCTGGGGTATTGAGCGAATATTCCAAACCCCGATTTTTCTCCCTACACGCAACCAAAGGAAAAAGGTCGAAACAATGACTCGGTAGGCCTGAAAAGAATTCATCTAAACGTTCTACTCGTTGCTTTTCAAATCTGGTTGCGGAGAACACCGTCCTTGTCGACAGTATGAATTTGTGTTCCTCTCATTTGAAGAGAGCAGACACGCGCACCAGTCACAAAATCCATCCGTTTGATGGATTGTGAAGGTGTGTCCGCAGTGACCATCCATCTTTCCAATGGAATAGCGTCTCCTTCCCGCAAACTCCAGGAGCGGGGTCGCCATCCAAGAGTCAGGGGTTGACATTGATGAAGGCACTGCGCTTGACACAGAAAACATCTGACGCTCAGCGGCCCAGCGGTGATTTCATCCGAAATGGGAGGTTCACATCCAAAATTGGGATCTAATCCCCCCAAAAGTGGAAGTTCACCATGACAAGGATTGGGATTTGACCCACAGAAAAAACATGGCTGGGGCAACGGGACTATCTGTTCATGGGGATGAATTCTGAATATCCAGGAGGCAAATAGCACCAGTACCAGTGGTGGAAGAAGCAGTCTGCATGCTACAGCCTCTTGATGTGTCTTGCATTGAGGATAATTGGCACAAACTTCTAAAATACGAAAACACAACATTCGCCGTGACATTCACCAGGTTTACGAAAACATTCCTCTTTCAATCAGGTGCATTTTACTGGTGTCTGGCTAGATATCGTTTGACTGTGCTGAGCCCTGACCATCATCGAAAGCGTCGAATTTCAAACTTGCTGGACATAGCAACTGCACATGCTGGCATGGTTCATACAGTCAGATATAGTCAGTTTCCCAAAAAAAACGATGGAAGTTGACTTTGCAACAACTCTATTCTTGAATCTTGAATCCAGCATCCTAGTACATTGCTAGTGGATGCAACTCCCTCAACAGAAACGGCAAGTTTCATCAATGATAGGAACGCCCGGAAGACATGGCCACCAGTCAAAAGCGACAACAAATTCGTGGCGCCACGTTGGGTGTGAATATGATGAAGGGCCGCTCAAAAAATAGGATACCAACAGACCCACACAAAATGGTCAGTTTTGTATCTAAGCATCCGTTTTGGGGGAATATATATATATATATAAGAGTTTTCAGCCATTCCCAAATGTTGAGATACAAACATCTTTCAAAATTAGTAGTGCTTTTGAATTTTGTTGCGCATAAAACCTCTTCCAGACTTGCGTATTTTGTGTCCATCAAGTTTGTGCAAACCACAACAGTTTTAATTTGTAGAGCTAACTGGGCATCCGCAGCTATGGCACTGGTTCATCTACACAGCGATATGGAGGACGCAGGTGTTTGGTCTCCAGATAATGTGCGATTGTCTTTTCTCCATGGAAATCCTATGTTGAAATATGTTACATTCTCTGTTTTTGGACAAATTCATTTGGATATATATATATATATTTGGACTCAATCACATTGCAGAAGGAAAAAAATCGATATTCACATCACCATTTAAATGAATTGTGCCTTTGTGACCAGGCTCCTTACCCTATCCTGGAAAGCACTTTCAGCATGGTGGGCCCAACAGGGAAATTGATCTCAACCCTGTATGTTGACCTCTGTTTGATTTGGGGCGGCCCATTGGGCTATGGGCCGAAGGTTGACATTATTGCAGAAGAGATAAATAATAACTACTGCAACAAGCACACAAACCAGAAAGTTCATCAATCACTTCTGTTTTTCTAGCAACTGATCCTGTCACTGAATGGATGTATGAGGAAGTTGGAAAATCGAAGATGAATCCTTTGGGCAGATTTACACAACGAACATCTGGATTTCAGTTCAAAAAAGGGAATTCAACCAACGAACTCCAGATTCGTAGGACTAGAAACGTCAAACCGTTTCCACCATTTGGCGAGATCACTGTGGTTTTTAATATGTTTCAACGGTTCTTGTTCACCATCTGGCAAGATCGTAACACTGTATCCTCACACCAAAAGTCAGGATTCCATGAAAACTTTGAGTTTCCAAAGACACGACGGCACGCGTTTCTAGGCGCAGATGAAACCTGCCTCTTTACGTCAGCGGGTTCGCGGCCTTGGCAACCACCATAAAACCACCGTGTCAGATGCGAAATGCATATGTAGTAAACCCAAGATATGGCAATAGCAATTTGTCACTAGTTTATTAGGATGTTATGTTTCTATCTTTGGGGGAAACACTCTGCATTTAGAATATGTAAAATATACCTCAAGATATTTCATCATATCACCGTAAAAAATAGGCCGTGGGGACCATCTCCACAATCCACCAGATGATGGGTTAAACACTGTTTATCTGTGTTTATTATTGAACTTGTGATGCACAGCCATACACCACAAGTCAGCACTAGCGCCCAAGCACCCCTTTTACTCAGTGCTTGAGCCAAAAGTCGGTATGTACCAAAATGAGGTGAACTGTTTGGCAAGACACATAGTAACCTATGTCAACCAAGTGGAGTACAATAATATGTACAAAGGGGTCACATTATGTGATTTCCTTCAACTCCCCCCTCGAGGCTTGGTGACAGGTAAGCTATGGCCCTATATACAATTCCAGGTCGGTGCCACACAGGCACACGACAATTGCGAGCCACGAGCTAAGGCCTAGGTCTTATAGTTCAGGCTGAGTTGGTTCAAGGTCATCGACCATTCATTTGGAGGAATGATCTTGGTGAAGCCATTGGCCTTCTGATCCGAAGTAATGCAATGACTTGCTGAAATGGACTCATCTTCGAGAGCTTCTGCAATTGACGCCACATTCACCTTATGAACACGCCCGGTATGGCGCAACTTTGCCGAGTACCCAGCCTTCAGCACTTGAAGTACAGCACTGTTGTCCTGATGGAATTCCACGTTCACAGGTTCATTTACTAAGGATTGTAAGAAAGCCTGCATGTTATAAACTTCTCCAAACTTCCCATTCGCCATTGCTATGAGTTCAGATTCCGTCGTTGATCTTGCTACGCTAGATTCTGAAGTGTTTTTTGCACTGTGAACACATCCAGCGAAATCTGCGTCTGTGTATACGTTTAGTTTGACCCCACCCTCGTGAGAAACTGATCCGGTCAAGACCACTTCCAAAGAGGTATTGAGGTACGCAACACAACGATGCAATTGGCGATCTTCAAACTTTGTCCAGGTAGTGACCCTACTTGCTAACCTTGTCACGATGAATGACAAGTCTGGTCTGGTAAGTCGTGAAAACCACAGCAAACGCATCAAGATGCGAGAAGCATCTGTGCCGAGCTCACCTGTTTGTGAAAGGTCCTCCTCTGTGATGGAGCTTTCTGGAATGTGTGGAGTGGGAACACTGCGGAACCTTTTCCTTTCAAATCCAGTGATTTCACAGTAAGTCTCGACAATGCTATCTGCGTATGACCTCATGTCAAGTTCACATGTGGTATGATTACTCTCAACTTTTATGTAGTGTTTTCGACCAAAAATCAGTGTACCTTCATGGCCAAGGATGTACTGCTCCGGTTCTAGCCTTACTGACTCACGCAGCTTAGTCCAAAAGTCCGAATGACATCTTGCATCACCACACAATGTTAAGTCATCCACGTAAATATTGATTAATAGGGTTACTGTTTCACCACCTATCTTCCATGGGACTAGATAGTTTGATGGATACATTGGCATTTCCTGTGCTCCAAGATTCCTAAGTTGACGGTCTAGGTGGTCCTGCCACCATCGTCCTGCTTTGGGGTGACCGTACAGGGACTTCTTGAGTCTAACTTCCTGGTGCAAACATGCTATGCCACTCTGGAAGCCAAAGTTCAACTGGAATGATGACATAGGTATAATCATTGTCATCGAGCTCTGACTGCAAGAAGGCTTGGATTGCATCTGAACATGATGCTGTGTTGCCTTTCCTACAGGCATACCAGATGGCAGCGTTGAGAGCCACCAGGGATGTAGGGGTGGTCGCTGTTTGTTCGAATAGCACCACATTGCTAAACTGATCCCGCACCATGTCTCCCCTATAAACTATGCGGCCTTTCCAACGCCAGTGCGCAGGTTCGAGCTCGTGGTGTTTAATTCCAACCAAAGTCAGAAGTTCAGCCACTTTTATGTGGACACCAGCTTTTCTTGCCCAACTGCGGATTTCATGGAGTGGGGCCACACTAGAATCATCCCATGTGTTGTTGGAGCGCAGTCCTGCTGCCTCCTGCTTCAACGCCTCTAAGGCTCTTGGGTCATTAGACCATTCTTTCTTGGTTAGGGATTTAGTTACAACTGCCATTTGAGGAACATGCTTGTACCAGGCTTGTGGGTACCATGCTTCCAAGACCATATCAGCAAAAGCTGGTGTGTAGTAAGCCGTGTGACTGGCATTACCGCCCATTGACTCACCATGGTCATGTGTGCCATCGCAACGGTGCTGGTTCACAAACTGAAGCAAGCGCAAATCATTGGTACTGATGCACCAAGGCTTACGAAGAAGTTTGCCTTCTTTTCCTCTAAGGCCGAATGCACAACCCTCACAGTAGGCTCTTTTGAAACCTAGACGCTGCTCAAACTCTAACCATTCAGGCAACTCCCAGATACCGGATTCCTGAGGATGCTCAAAGGCTACACGTCCTGAGTTCTGAAGGCATGCTTCTGCAAACTGAAGGGCATACCCTAACATGCGTCTGGTCTCTTGTTGGCCTTCTTTGAGTTTCTTCTTGAACCTTTTCCCATATTGGGCTTCATTGAGTCTCTGAATTGGCGAGTAGTACACGCAAGGCAAAGATATCCAAACATCTGCACCTGGTGTGCTCTGCAACTGCATGATAGCCTGTGCTACATGATCCGGATTGGACAAATCCAACACCCCCCTGGTTAGACGAGTGCAGCGAATGCCAATGTCTGCCGATCTCTCCCCGAGGATGGAGGTGTCGCTACAAGCATACTCATACAACATGCCACGACCACTCAATGATGTTGTTCGTCTTTTCATGTTTCTTGATCTATTTGTTTCGACAAATGATTCATCGAGGACAAAGGCTACTTTTCCTACCATTGCTGGTTCTGTTTCAGATGGGATACCAGCACTGAAAGGAAGATCTGTAGTTTCAACCCCAACAAACTCATCCGTCTCTTGTTCTGGAACCAATGGATGCTCCGCAACTGGTTCAACTGTCTCACCTGCTGGTGTGGGAGCAGCTGGCTCAACTGCCGGCGTGGGAGCCGATGGAGTACCTGGCGTCTTTGTTCCTGATGTCACGCGATCTGCACGAACGAGAGCTTGAAGCGTGCACGACATGCTGGTGTGTGCACACTATGTTCTGAACTAAACGCACAAGCTTTACATCCAACAGTGGGTCCATACTTTATAATTCGATCAAGAGTGATATATTCATTTCTTTTACCTCTATTTTCTGGGGTGATGCTTGAAAATGGATGTCCAATGGCAGTATCTCTTCGAGCTGCACTTCACCAAAGGTTGCCAAAGCTTGATCTGCTGCGAATTTGATGGGCAGCTTTGCTGGCCCGTCCTCGACATACAGCTCTTCAGCAGGTATGGCAATGCTGTTTGCATAACCAGGTTCTCTACCTTTCACTTTGGCATAATCCAAAACAAGATACACTCCTAGATGGCTCTTGGGACCATCACCGTATCTCCAGCCGACAAACAACCCCGGACGAGTGGATGCATCAAATTTCTCCCTTTGTGATGGATCAACTCTATAATGCACCAATTGTCCAAGTAACAAAAGCCTACCTTCAAACTCTTTACCAACAGCTAACATGTGTCTTGTCTGTTCACGATCTGATGCAACATGCTTGGCTGAGATCATAGTGGCGGCAAACTCGACGCTATGCTGCCAAAGACCCTCGGTGGTGTCGAATCCTGCTTGAAGATGGCAAGCTCAAGTCACTTCCTCAAGTGTCCGAATGTCACGTTCCAGCACACTATTATGGGGATGTCTGTTTCCAAGAGTGCCCTCGAACACAAAACCCAATTGGGATGTTGCAAGGCGAACCTCTCTGGCTTGATCGCTTTTGACCATGATACAGGGCTTATTATAAGCTGGTCCTAGAAAACTCAAAAGGTTCCTGACTACCGTTGGGGTATCCCTTTTGGTGATTGGGTAAGCACGAATCCATCCTGAATGTTCATCACGAATTACCTGCACTGCATTCTCTTTGCCTGATGCAAGCTTCTGGACAATGATGAAATCCGTGGCTATACGCTCCCCAAATACGGTAGTTGGCTCTAACTCACCTCTTTCTTTGAGTGGGTCACGCCGAACTCTTTGAGTTCTTTTCTTATACATTCTACTTCGATTGCAAATTGGGCATGCTGGATTCTTTGGAAAATGGCATAGAAGGTGTTCGGGGGATTGGGACTCCCTTACTAGCCTTTGCATTCTGCTCAAGGGCTCTTCACCTGCATCTCCTGAATCGGCATCACTGGCTACGGCAAGTTCATGCTCACCTGCGGCAAGAGCGTGCGGAACAGAAATGGAAACAGATTGCATGGCCCTAGAACTATCCTCCGAAATTTGAATGCTCTCTTTGAAGATGGGGGCATTTTCTTCAACACGGTCAGCGACGAGTTTATTCCCTCTACATTTAATTCGAAGGCTTTCACCACTTTCTGCAAAGTATGGCATTTCACCTGGCATCCAGACAAACGGGCGACCACTGGACACTATCTCACCCAAGCTTCTTGCAATGGGACAGCTATCCAAGATCCTATGCTCGTATGCACCAAAGTTGCTACCATGAAAATTAAAACACTCTGTGCTATTTGTAACACCATTGCCTGTCTCGAACTTGATGGTTGATGCTGGTGAAAGGCAACTATACACCAAGTTTTCTGGGATTCCTTGGTTGACCAAAGACTGGACGGATGCAAGCGAACGGGAGGCACCTGAGTCACAAATCCATTCAACATCATAGGACCCAGACTGAGACCATGTGGCAACACAAGCCTGCTCAGCTGATCGAACAAAAGTTGGAGCTGCAAATGATTGCAGACAACCAACTTGGTTTGGATTGCTCACGGATTCTGCCAAGAAGAGTGACGACACTGATGCAATTGATGCGAAAAATGCCTTGAAAGGG